TACATTTTAACTACGGAGGCAGTAGCCTAAAAAGGAAGGTCGTCTCCGTGAGTTTGTGATTTTATGAACTGCTGATGGTGCGAACAACGAAAGAAATGACTGAAACAAAATTTTTTTGTAAGAGTCGTACTTTTATTTTATTAATATAAAATAGTCGTTGGCCATGCAAAACTTATTATTTTTTACTTGAAATGTATTTTGTGATTGTGGCAAGAACACCAGATGACGCTTTTATCATTTTTTACATTTTAACTACGGAGGCAGTAGCCTAAAAAGGAAGGTCGTCTCCGTGAGTTTGTGATTTTATGAACTGCTGATGGTGCGAACAACGAAAGAAATGACTGAAACAAAATTTTTTTGTAAGAGTCGTACTTTTATTTTATTAATATAAAATAGTCGTTGGCCATGCAAAACTTATTATTTTTTACTTGAAATGTATTTTGTGATTGTGGCAAGAACACCAGATGACGCTTTTATCATTTTTTACATTTTAACTACGGAGGCAGTAGCCTAAAAAGGAAGGTCGTCTCCGTGAGTTTGTGATTTTATGAACTGCTGATGGTGCGAACAACGAAAGAAATGACTGAAACAAAATTTTTTTGTAAGAGTCGTACTTTTATTTTATTAATATAAAATAGTCGTTGGCCATGCAAAACTTATTATTTTTTACTTGAAATGTATTTTGTGATTGTGGCAAGAACACCAGATGACGCTTTTATCATTTTTTACATTTTAACTACGGAGGCAGTAGCCTAAAAAGGAAGGTCGTCTCCGTGAGTTTGTGATTTTATGAACTGCTGATGGTGCGAACAACGAAAGAAATGACTGAAACAAAATTTTTTTGTAAGAGTCGTACTTTTATTTTATTAATATAAAATAGTCGTTGGCCATGCAAAACTTATTATTTTTTACTTGAAATGTATTTTGTGATTGTGGCAAGAACACCAGATGACGCTTTTATCATTTTTTACATTTTAACTACGGAGGCAGTAGCCTAAAAAGGAAGGTCGTCTCCGTGAGTTTGTGATTTTATGAACTGCTGATGGTGCGAACAACGAAAGAAATGACTGAAACAAAATTTTTTTGTAAGAGTCGTACTTTTATTTTATTAATATAAAATAGTCGTTGGCCATGCAAAACTTATTATTTTTTACTTGAAATGTATTTTGTGATTGTGGCAAGAACACCAGATGACGCTTTTATCATTTTTTACATTTTAACTACGGAGGCAGTAGCCTAAAAAGGAAGGTCGTCTCCGTGAGTTTGTGATTTTATGAACTGCTGATGGTGCGAACAACGAAAGAAATGACTGAAACAAAATTTTTTTGTAAGAGTCGTACTTTTATTTTATTAATATAAAATAGTCGTTGGCCATGCAAAACTTATTATTTTTTACTTGAAATGTATTTTGTGATTGTGGCAAGAACACCAGATGACGCTTTTATCATTTTTTACATTTTAACTACGGAGGCAGTAGCCTAAAAAGGAAGGTCGTCTCCGTGAGTTTGTGATTTTATGAACTGCTGATGGTGCGAACAACGAAAGAAATGACTGAAACAAAATTTTTTTGTAAGAGTCGTACTTTTATTTTATTAATATAAAATAGTCGTTGGCCATGCAAAACTTATTATTTTTTACTTGAAATGTATTTTGTGATTGTGGCAAGAACACCAGATGACGCTTTTATCATTTTTTACATTTTAACTACGGAGGCAGTAGCCTAAAAAGGAAGGTCGTCTCCGTGAGTTTGTGATTTTATGAACTGCTGATGGTGCGAACAACGAAAGAAATGACTGAAACAAAATTTTTTTGTAAGAGTCGTACTTTTATTTTATTAATATAAAATAGTCGTTGGCCATGCAAAACTTATTATTTTTTACTTGAAATGTATTTTGTGATTGTGGCAAGAACACCAGATGACGCTTTTATCATTTTTTACATTTTAACTACGGAGGCAGTAGCCTAAAAAGGAAGGTCGTCTCCGTGAGTTTGTGATTTTATGAACTGCTGATGGTGCGAACAACGAAAGAAATGACTGAAACAAAATTTTTTTGTAAGAGTCGTACTTTTATTTTATTAATATAAAATAGTCGTTGGCCATGCAAAACTTATTATTTTTTACTTGAAATGTATTTTGTGATTGTGGCAAGAACACCAGATGACGCTTTTATCATTTTTTACATTTTAACTACGGAGGCAGTAGCCTAAAAAGGAAGGTCGTCTCCGTGAGTTTGTGATTTTATGAACTGCTGATGGTGCGAACAACGAAAGAAATGACTGAAACAAAATTTTTTTGTAAGAGTCGTACTTTTATTTTATTAATATAAAATAGTCGTTGGCCATGCAAAACTTATTATTTTTTACTTGAAATGTATTTTGTGATTGTGGCAAGAACACCAGATGACGCTTTTATCATTTTTTACATTTTAACTACGGAGGCAGTAGCCTAAAAAGGAAGGTCGTCTCCGTGAGTTTGTGATTTTATGAACTGCTGATGGTGCGAACAACGAAAGAAATGACTGAAACAAAATTTTTTTGTAAGAGTCGTACTTTTATTTTATTAATATAAAATAGTCGTTGGCCATGCAAAACTTATTATTTTTTACTTGAAATGTATTTTGTGATTGTGGCAAGAACACCAGATGACGCTTTTATCATTTTTTACATTTTAACTACGGAGGCAGTAGCCTAAAAAGGAAGGTCGTCTCCGTGAGTTTGTGATTTTATGAACTGCTGATGGTGCGAACAACGAAAGAAATGACTGAAACAAAATTTTTTTGTAAGAGTCGTACTTTTATTTTATTAATATAAAATAGTCGTTGGCCATGCAAAACTTATTATTTTTTACTTGAAATGTATTTTGTGATTGTGGCAAGAACACCAGATGACGCTTTTATCATTTTTTACATTTTAACTACGGAGGCAGTAGCCTAAAAAGGAAGGTCGTCTCCGTGAGTTTGTGATTTTATGAACTGCTGATGGTGCGAACAACGAAAGAAATGACTGAAACAAAATTTTTTTGTAAGAGTCGTACTTTTATTTTATTAATATAAAATAGTCGTTGGCCATGCAAAACTTATTATTTTTTACTTGAAATGTATTTTGTGATTGTGGCAAGAACACCAGATGACGCTTTTATCATTTTTTACATTTTAACTACGGAGGCAGTAGCCTAAAAAGGAAGGTCGTCTCCGTGAGTTTGTGATTTTATGAACTGCTGATGGTGCGAACAACGAAAGAAATGACTGAAACAAAATTTTTTTGTAAGAGTCGTACTTTTATTTTATTAATATAAAATAGTCGTTGGCCATGCAAAACTTATTATTTTTTACTTGAAATGTATTTTGTGATTGTGGCAAGAACACCAGATGACGCTTTTATCATTTTTTACATTTTAACTACGGAGGCAGTAGCCTAAAAAGGAAGGTCGTCTCCGTGAGTTTGTGATTTTATGAACTGCCGATGGTGCGAACTACGAAAGAAATGACTGAAACAAATTTTTTTTGTAAGAGTCGTACTTTTATTTTATTAATTATTATTTTTTTTTAATTAAAATAAACAGGTACTCTTTGGAACTCCAAATATATAATGTACGATGGAATTCATCTTTTTAAAGAATGTAAACGTTCAATAAAATTAATTTTCAAATTGTCAGTTTTCCTTCTAAAATCAAAGCCCCAAATCTCGGACCCATATAGCACTACTAAGCGAATAAATGACTCGAATAATTTTAATTTATCTTTCCAGCGTAACAATCCACCAGACACACATGCTTTAATAAGCTTATCTGTTCCAATGTTAACTTTATTATGAATATACTTTAAATGCTTTAAAAAACGTGGCCGTTGGGACTGGAAAATACACCCAAATACTTGTACTCGTCAACAACTTCTATTTTAGAGTTTTGTATAAACCAATTTAGAATATTTTCCTCCATTTCGGAATACCATTATTTAGATTTATTAACAGAAAGTTTTAACTCCTGTAATGCATAGCCCAAAATATCAATTATTCTCTGTAGACCTATAGGCGAGTTTGCTATAACAACTAAATCGTGTGCGTATGTCAAGATTTTTACCTCCGTTCCCAGAAGATCAATGCCCACTAATTCGGAGTCACTAAATTTTCTGACAAGTAAATTTAGATATAAATATAAAAATATTGGGCTCAATACACAACCTTGTTTCATTCCTTTAAATGTGAAAAAAAGATCAGAGGTACCCTCTTTACCTGACACACTGCTTTCTGTATTAGTACTGTATATAACTGAATCAAACAATTTACAAATTTATAACTCAAACCAATCTTCAAAAGCTGTCTCCACAATAGATCTCTATCCTAAGAGTCGAATGCCGATGTCAAGTCAACAAAAAAAGCATAAAGTTTACCTCTTTCTTCTTGATTTTTGAATTAAAGCATGTAGAACAAAAATATTATCCAATGTTGAAAAACCAACCGAAAGCTAACCTGGAAATCTGAAAGTATTTATTCAACCAAGTTATCAATCGCATACATAGAATTTTACAAAACACTTTAGAAATTGTCGGTAGTAACGAAATTGCTCTATAAATATCAGGTCTTTAATCTTTGAGCCCCTTCTTAAATATAGGAATAATCTTACATATACCCCAATCCAATGGGATATTTCTTAATTGATATACATTATTAAACAAATCTACGAAAAATACAGTATAATCAAGCCTGGAAAGTACTTATATAGTTCCACCTGTATACCATCAATACCCGGAGCAGTACAGTTTTTCATAGTAACTAAAACCTTTTCCACTTCCTGTTCTGTTATCTCCAAATCCAGCACATCATCCTGCCAATTCACACACCAGTTATATACAGAAATATTCGGTAAATATTTTCTAAAGTGAAATTTCCTTGAAAAATAGACCACCCAATCAAGATTTCGAAGCTCATTATATTTAGTTTTAACAAAAANACAGATTTGTCATTATAAATTAAATTTAGCAACGAATAAAAGATTACTTTAAAAATGTAAACAATTCATAACATATTTGCGCATTTTAAAAATAGATATTGTATACTAAAATATATAATTATAAAATATATAGACTACTACATAATTATTATAATATATGATATCACCAAGTTGCTGATTCATTTCCTAGTCATGATGTGCCGTTACGAAGGTTTGCCACCATAAATTGTTAACTTTTTCTATCACTTGCTTTTCTTTTGGATACTTGGTAGCTAGGAATGCTAGTCTAATCTCTGAAATCCTGAAACCAAGTTTCTCCTTGTCCTATCGCATTTAAGATCTCTTTTAGTAAAGTTCTCCAGTATTAAGAGTGTTTTTGCAAGAAGAGCCTGTTAGAACATATCCTGCAAATTCTATTTTATGCTCTTTGTCAGTCCTGAGAAGACATGGAATGGCGTGAGATCTTCTCCATACTTTTTCATTAGTAATTTTATCAGTTCTACTAATTTTCAGAATTCTATGACAGAACCTGTGATCACTGGATTTCACCGAAATTCCTTCTTCTCATCAACCTTTTAGTTCAGAATATCACTTTCATCAGGATTTTTAAATTAAGTTTGTAATACCGAAAATCCCAGAAATCTTAATCATCGTTGATTTATTTAGAAATCACTACATTCAGAAGAACAAATAGGCAGAATTATAAAACCCGGAATTGGAGACACATGGTACAAAAATAGATTCAAATAGAATTTTTATGTAAAATTTAGTAAGCTTGACGTTATGCATGAATATTTTTCTATTATTATGCCAACGTAATGAATTTCCAATTGCTTTTGTTATAAGTTATGATGGAATAACAGCAAAAAATTATTAAAAAATATTTGCAAATTCGTAATAGAATCGTTGTCTCGTTTAATAAATTTATCTTTTAAGGTTGATACTGATCCGAGTATTTTAAATACAACATAACATATATGTAAAACGAGCAGCTTATATGTTAGCATTATCGACGTATTTCAGTTTTCTCCGTTTTCGAAAATTGCGTTGATTATATTAACTGTTTATTTCATAAGTTTTTTGTTATAGTATGAGAATAAATCCATTCTGTAAATGTTCTTTCCGAAAAAAATAACTTGAGAGATATTATTAAAAAAAGAATGTAAGAAGTATACTGATTTGTCATATTATAATGTTAAATAGTATACAATCTAAGCTTATATATATATATATATAGTATATGTTAAATTTTGCAAAAGAATTATCATACTGAAGATATTAGAAATTACTTATCTCGATTCTTCCTTCTTGTATTGCGACAAAGAAATGTCAAAAGAAATTCCATCTTGAAGCAGTACAAACCAGATGATATTCTTGTCAAATATCTGAAATTAAATGATGAATGATGTAAATATATATCAAAATTAACGAATTTAATTGCTTGTGTGAAAAAATTAATTATTTTCAGAAATAAATAAATGTGTGGTAGATAAAATGCAAATGCTAATTCGTTATTCTATTCATTCCAGAGAACAAACTGATTTGAGGAAATCGCTCAATATTATTTCTGAAAGATTTTCTTATATCATAATTCTGAATGTTATGTTATTAATGTTGTCTGATTTAAATGTTACAATTCTATAAGTGATAATATTCATTTTCCTGTTTATTTGACTTTTAATACCGTCAAGTTTTCTGTTTAAAACATGAAAATCACGCTTATGTAACACAACACAATTTTGGTTTCTGTATCGATTAGGTTACAGCATTTATTAAGAAATAACTTACGAGTTAAATTCTTTATGGAAAAGTTAAAGAGATAGTCTCCTTTATTTATCCCCTAAGGCCTATTGATATTCAAACACGAAACACCACTTACGGATACCGGAATGTAACTTCTACGTATATAAAACTCTATTTTTCATACGATATGTTAAAAGAAATAACTGGATCTCTGAATGCATTTCTGCTAATGAAAATTCTCAATTTAAAATCGTTTGAATTTACTTAAGCAAATTTTGCATTTTCTATCGTCCGTTGATTTTCGATTGCAACCCTCGCCTGTCAATAGTTAAGCAATGATATAATATCGAATTTTTTAAAATAAATTAATCACATAACCGCAATTTATTACCAATCGACTGATTTTAATTTCGTCCCTCACTTTCTAAAACTTAAAACATGTGATTAATATTGAGATATTTTAAATAAATTAATCACACACCTAAATTCATTTCGAATCCTTCAACGTCCCGATTTTCGATTTAAATCAACATCTGCTAATACATTTTGCAACAATAAAATTCTAAAATTAATCACTTGACGGATTATTGCTTCCAATTTGCCCAATGACTGTTGATTTTTCGTTTTGTCTTTCGTTTGCTGAAATTCAATTTTAATCACAGACCAAGAAAAGAAGTAATACTTATATTCTCGAGATATTCCTATTCAAAGTAGCGTCGAAGTACAATGTAGATAAGTCGGAATTTCTGGAGAGATTCTATTATTGCACTCCAGTCCAATAATGGAAAAAAAGAACAATTGGAAATAATTGTTAGATAAATATGACGTCTCGATAAACGTAGCACGCATTACGTCAAAGTATTAAATCACTACTACAAATATTCAATTTTATGTACAATTTTCCAGTTTACCATAAAGATTTATTCTGAAATAAAAATATGAATTTAAAACAATTAAATCGATGTCAAATAACTGGTACCTCATAGCAGCACGTTATCTTATATTGTCACGTTATCCCCATCTCTTTTATATTAGAAAACAATTTTTATATCCAAATTTAATTCTTAGAGCTTTTATCAACATTTTAAATTTATTAACCTTATTTTTAATTTCTCTATTTTAACGAAAACAACTTATTCTTGCCAGAGGCGTAGCTACCGTGGAGCAGTTGGAGCAAACTTCTCCAGGCGCACAAATTGTGAGGGCGTCTAGTTATAAATGGCAAAATAAAAACTTGTAAAAACATTTTTAAAAGAATTTTTGGATGTAATAATTAATCAATTAACTATTAGATTTGAATCCGTTCGACAATTATGTACACTTTTTAAGTGTCTTTCGCCTGCATATCTTGTCGCATCATCTGATAAAAGTATTCTAAAACAATCAAAATTGTTACAATCGGCATATTCGCCTAGTTTTGGACCTCAACTGCTTCGATTGAAAGTTTGTTTTATACTCAGGTAAAAGAAATTACTTCTATAAGCGAAGTTGCTGAACTACTTTTATTTCACACCGCAGCCTCAAATAGGTTCCCGACATTATTGCAGCCTCATTTTTTTAACTTTACGGGCGACGACAAAGAAGTTTTTCAAAACTAAAATTAATCAAAGCTTATTTAAGAAGCAGCATGTCATAATACCGTCTTAACTCTGGTTACTATATCCAGGGGCGGATCTACATAGAAACTAATAGGGCTTAAGCCCTGGGCCCAAGTGTCAAGGTCCCACAAAAATTGAATTATTATCATAAATTTTTTATACTTTTTCATTAACAATGAACATTTATCGTATAATAAAAATAGTTAATATTAATAATAATATAAAAATGATAATTTATAGTATAGGAGAAGGTGGTATTATGGAACCCCATTTTCATTATAGAAAAATGTAAACCAGGCATCATAATTACGCCCACATCTTTTGTGCGAAAAGTACTGGTAACTATTGAACTAAATGTTCCTAATTGGAGTTTTCGCTAGTATAATTATAAGTATGGTTTTTGAAGGCTTCTGTAAAAAAGTCAGAAAGTCGGTTTTGGGAAGCCGGTGGTAATATGGAACCCCATTGTATGTTTTTTTAAAAAATGCTTTAATGTATTCAAAAGCAAATAGAAAAGTACAAAAAAGTTAGTTAATTACAAAGTTATTTACTCCAATGTATTTTTATGAAAAAATGCTTTAATAATAGAAAAATATAATCTCCATTAACAATATATATTCCAGCAGTTCTTTTTCAATATTCTCAGGAAGAATTAGCTTTCTACCTAGTGTTTTTTTCACAAATTGCTCCGGACGAATGTCTGCTTGCAAAGAGAGAGTTCGCAAAATAATTTTTGGCACCTCATAAAATTTTGCAGCTTTCTTCAGCCGCATTTTTTTTATCCGTTACCATACATACTGTCTCTTCCATTTTTTTCCTGCCTCTATATTTGTCTCTTCGAGTTTTTCTTTGGCTTGTTCAGCCGGGGTTTAAGCATCTGAAAATTAAGTAAGGTTTTAAATCGAAATAATTAGATATGTTTTTAAATTAAATGTTTAAAATAAATTTTGCGAGGCCTCTTCCGAGAAACAAGGGGCGCACCGATTCGACTTGCTCCAGGGCGCTGAATATGAAGCTACGCCACTGGGTATACGAAGTACTGTTGTTTTCTCTATGAGAGGGGTAGCAGAAATCGAGTAGCACATTTCAAAAGGAGAGACTGACCATGAAGGAAATCCCTCGAACCTGGATCAAAAAATGTTATTTCTGAACTATTAGTAGAACGCAGTTCGATCATACTACCATCGCTGCGCATAAAATTAGGACTTATGAAAAACTTTGTCAAAACCATGGATCGAAATGGCCCAGAATTTAGTTTTTTAGAGAGACATTTCCAAATATTAGTGAGGCGAAAGTTATAGGGATATTTGTAGATCCACAGATTTCCAAGCTTCTCAAAAATATGCACTTTAATAGCGTACTAATAGGTGCTAGAAAAGAAGCTTGGAATGCTTTCAGGGTGGTGGTAAACAATTTTCTTGGAAACATAAAGCTAATTACAAACAAAAAATTACAAATAACATGCTGTCGTGTTCTAAATAGATGAGATGCAACGTGTCATTGAAAATGCACAAATGCACTTTTTGCATCCTTACATTGACATTTTTCCTGAATACTGTGGGTCTGTCAGTGACAAACATGGGGAGCGTTTCCACCAAGACATTGCTTGTATGGAAAAGTGATACCAAGGAAAATAGAGTCAGGCAATGTTAGCAGATTACTGCTGGAACATTATATGTGAAACACTTACAGATTCATACAAGAAGTCTGTAAATAACTGTCATACATGCGAGTGATGTCCTGGGTATTTTATGCTTTCACTATTTATTTAGTTTTTATGTATCAAAAAGTGTTCTGATGTTTTCTGTGTTTCAACTCGAATGAAAATTACATTATGTGTATGTATTCAGATATTATGCAATTTATTAAACGTTGATACACCTTGTAAACTTGAGCAATTCTGGTTTTTTTTTATAACTATTTTTGAATTCAGCAAGTCGAAATCATTAAGAAACAGCTTGTTTTGTTTCCGAAGGAAACAAAAAGTTTTTATTTGTAGACCTGTGTAATTTATTAACTTTAATCTGTTCCTAACTTTTTGTTTCAACTTTAATCTCTCTCTATCTCATTAATAAACACAATATAAATTGTAAATAACATATATCTCAGCTCCTTTCTCTTGCAAACTACAATAATTTACCTAATATTAATAAATAATAAAAAAAGTTATTGGCTTAACCTTGATAAACTCCAAAGCCACCCTAAATTCTAAATCTCCTGTTTTGTAACACTTTAAATCTATCCTACCTTAACACATGGCTTAACATTTTTATACATTTCCATAATTAAATGTATATAATTTTCAACATTCCCTTTTTTGCCGATTCAGAGTTATCGGGAATCCCGAAGATATCCCATATTAATAATGTATATACAGGCTTAACTATGAAATTTTTGACTACGTTTTCTTGTCCTTAACGAAAACTCCCAAAATATTTAAAAATGAACACATTATTGTAAGCAAAAAATAGACAGGTTAATCAATTTAAAATCTAAAATCGTGAAAGTGACAGTTAATAGAAATATAAATATTATCGACATTTACGAATAAATAATGTTCAAAACCGAATTAAATAGTATTTATAAGCGGTCCTTTAAAAAAGACAAAATAAATAGCTGAGTTAAAAACGAGAAAATTTCATATATTAAAAAAATTTTCAAATATTTACAGTTCAATCTCTCTATGCTCCACCATCAAAGCACTCGAATCACTGGATATGACAGAAATATTTATTATGCCAGTATTCAGTATCATACCATTGGAGCTATGGGCAGCGCAAGGGCCAATATACCTATCGACTCTGCTAATATCAGAAGATAAGATCAGAGCCTTACATTCAGTTACTAAATCAAAACTAATACGAGTGGAACCGAATTCACAATAATCTAAACACGTAGCTATCATTCTTTTAAATATATTGCATCGCACGTATAACATTGTATAATACAAAATGGTCTCTACCTTTAAATAAGTTACCGAGCTCCATTCATTAAAAATATGTAAATACAACTTATTTTATTTATAATTAATAACTGTATCTTTAAACTAATATAAATAATTATTTGCTAATCTCATTAAAATATCAGAGACATCCGTTTCATTCAACATTATAGGATAATCTCGATAGCCAAAATTATGCAACAAGGGCGCAATTCGATCTTCCTACGCTACTCTTTGAGAAATTAAATATAATTTAGCGGACTCTGTGAGTTTACTGACGGACTGTTTATGTAACCATCTTAAATTATTATTATTTTTTATTAAAATAAACAGGTACTCTTTGGAACTCCAAATATATAATGTACGATGGAATCCATCTTTTTAAAGAATGTAAACGTTTAATAAAATTAATTTGCAAATTGTCAGTTTTCCTTCTACTAAAATCAAAGCCCCAAATCTCGGACCCACATAGCACTACTAAGTGAATAAATGACTCGAATAATTTTAATTTATCTTTCCAGCGTAACAATCTACCAGATACACATGCCTTAATAAGCTTATCTGTTCCAATGTTAACTTTATTATGAATATACTTTAAATGCTTTAAAAAACGTGGCCGTTGGGACTGGAAAATACACCCAAATACCTAAAATAGAAGTTGTACTCGTCAACAACTTCTATTTTAGAGTTTTGTATAAACCAATTTAGAATATTTTCCTCCATTTCGGAATACCATTATTTAGATTTATTAACAGAAAGTTTTAACTCCTGTAATGCATAGCCCAAAATATCAATTATTCTCTGTAGACCTATAGGCGAGTTTGCTATAACAACTAAATCGTGTGCGTATGTCAAGATTTTTACCTCCGTTCCCAGAAGATCAATGCCCACTAATTCGGAGTCACTAAATTTTCTGACAAGTAAATTTAGATATAAATATAAAAATATTGGGCTCAATACACAACCTTGTTTCATTCCTTTAAATGTGAAAAAAAGATCAGAGGTACCCTCTTTACCTGACACACTGCTTTCTGTATTAGTACTGTATATAACTGAATCAAACAATTTACAAATTTATAACTCAAACCAATCTTCAAAAGCTGTATCCACAATAGATCTCTATCCTAAGAGTCGAATGCCGATGTCAAGTCAACAAAAAAAGCATAAAGTTTACCTCTTTCTTCTTGATTTTTGAATTAAAGCATGTAGAACAAAAATATTATCCAATGTTGAAAAACCAACCGAAAGCTAACCTGGAAATCTGAAAGTATTTATTCAACCAAGTTATCAATCGCATACATAGAATTTTACAAAACACTTTAGAAATTGTCGGTAGTAACGAAATTGCTCTATAAATATCAGGTCTTTAATCTTTGAGCCCCTTCTTAAATATAGGAATAATCTTACATATACCCCAATCCAATGGGATATTTCTTAATTGATATACATTATTAAACAAATCTACGAAAAATACAGTATAATCAAGCCTGGAAAGTACTTATATAGTTCCACCTGTATACCATCAATACCCGGAGCAGTACAGTTTTTCATAGTAACTAAAACCTTTTCCACTTCCTGTTCTGTTATCTCCAAATCCAGCACATCATCCTGCCAATTCACACACCAGTTATATACAGAAATATTCGGTAAATATTTTCTAAAGTGAAATTTCCTTGAAAAATAGACCACCCAATCAAGATTTCGAAGCTCATTATATTTAGTTTTAACAAAAAAATTAATGAATTGCCAGAACCGTTTACTGTCACCAGACGCTAAACTTTTATTAATCTTCTGTAGAAAAAAAAAAAAGCTTTTTCTTAACTCTACATAAATTGCGAGTCACATTACGTTCTTTAACAAAATTACAACTACACTATTCCCAATCTTTGCTCGTTTCATCATGTTCAAGGCCTGATTTCTTCTAGCAATACTCAACCTGCAATCTGTATCAAACGATGAAAAAATGGAAGTTCCAACTGGCCTTTGATACCAATCTGAAAATGAAAATTTAATTAAATAACCCAGGACTTCGAACTTCAAAACCGACTGACTATGAATCGCACACAATAACTTATTATATTTATGATTTACCATCTCATTACTTTCCACCAAAAAATTCTCTCTCATTCTTACCCGTAGGCCTTTTGAACGGTTCTCGTATTAAGTTTGCAATGTAAAACTACACTAACTGGGAAATGATTACAATATACTTTATCTAATACGGAAAAACTTGTTACAGTAGATAACCGAGTCAGCTTAACCAAGGTTAAATCGATTACATAAGTATAATAACATTTAGACACAGATGATTCTCTACAATTTAAAATTATATATCTCGCAGCTTCACAAAAATCCAACATAAATCTTTCACAGTTATTTATCAATGTATCATGTAATAGCTTTGACATCCAATTCTGATCAAGATCCTCATTACAATGATAAATCCATTCCTGTAGCTCCGCACAATGCGAGCATTAAACATGGCGTCGCTACAGCCACTCTATGTAGTGTGTTTATTTATTTATGAAGAAAAAAAGGCGATGTCTGTATTCTAGATCGTTGGGAATAACTATTCAAAAGCATTTTAAATATTATTGTTTATATTACTTTTTGTGTAGCCGTTACTCTATATGCCTGTAATTTTTAAACCGTTTGTTCTACATAAAATCTACAAACAAAATACAGTAGAACCTCGAAAACTCGGCCTAATGTGGACCGAAGGGTGGCCGAGTTTGTGAAAATGCCGGGTTATCGGGAATGGGGTTAAAAAAATAAGTACGAGTGTTTTCTCAGAAAATACTGTACTGTACTTGTATGTATTGTTTACTTGAGAATGTAACAGAGAATAAACTGCCCAAATACCCTTAAACAAAGGAAAAGTACGTCCTTTATGAAGGCATAGAGCCTTTACTACATGAAAATGAAAATTAATGAATACACTGTGTACAGTAATTTACCTGATAAGACAGACCTCAGAAAAATACTTTATGAGAGCTTTTATACTTTTATAAAGCTGTCTATAATGAAAACTAATTAACTAAGGATTTTTCTGCCCTGCCAGGGTGTGGCCTAGTTATCCGGAGTGCCGGGTTATCGAGAGCCGAGTTTTCGAGGTTTTACTGTATTTCTACAGCTATATTAATTGGAATAAAATAAATTACAGATAATGAAAATTTTTTAAATGTACTTCGTTTTATATAATTTATAGGGTTTGTTATTCTCTCACTTTAAAATCTCGTATTATTAAGCGTTATTTACATTTTGTGGCCACACAATCTTTCTAGTGTTCGGCATAGAAAAATTATTTTAAAAATTAATCAAACAATACAACACAGAATAACACTTTTGAACTTTATTGTTAGTATTTTGTTGTTGGAAAATGTTCGATTCAGAAGTCGAAAGTTAACAGAAGCGAGACTAGCAAAGCGCCGAATATCCCCGGCCAAACTAAAAAGGAATTTTGATCAGGGTACTTTCTTAATATTAAGTGCAATGAGTAAACAGGCTTAAAAACTTTCAGTTGCTACTATTTTATATTTTTGTACGGAAATTCGCTTGCATATTTTTGAAATTTTACATCAAATGGAAGACTTCACGTTGATTTATCAAATAAATTTTGCTCAGCAATGAAAATCATTTTGGGCAAGTATAAGTTATTTTGGTTAAAATAGAGAGATTAAAAATAAGGTTAAAATTTTTTTTTGATTCACTAACACAAGGAGTGTTTCTGTTTCAACACTTGGCGGGATTCCATCTTTACTTAGTTGATTTAAAATATTGATAAAAGCTCTAAGAATTAAATTTGGATATAAAAATTGTTTTCTAATATAAAAGAGATGGGGATAACGTGACTTTTTCAATATAAGATAACGTGCTGCTATGATGTGCCAGTTATTTGACATCGATTTAATTGTTTTAAATTCATATTTTTATTTCAGAATAAATCTTTATGATAAACTGGAAAATTGTACATAAAATTGAATATTTGTAGTAGTGATTTAATACTTTGACGTAATGCGTGCTACGTTTATCGAAACGTCATATGTATCTAACAATTATTTCCAATTGTTCTTTTTTTCCATTATTGGACTGGAGTGCAATAATAGAATCTCTCCAGAAATTCCGACTTATCTACATTGTACTTCGACGCTACTTTGAATAGGAATATCTCGAGAAGGTAAGTATTACTTCTTTTCTTGGTCTGTCATTAAAATTGAATTTCAGCAAACGAAAGACAAAATGAAAAATCAACAGTCATTGGGCAAATTGGAAGCAATAATCCGTCAAGTGATTAATTTTAGAATTTTATTGTTGCAAAATGTATTAGCAGATGTTGATTTAAATCGAAAATCGGGCCGTTGGAGGATTCGAAATGAATTTAGATATGTGATTAATCTATTTAAAATATCTCAATATTAATCACATTTTTTAAGTTTTAGAAAGTGAGGGACGAAATTAAANATTTTAGTTTAAGGAAAACTTGTGAGAAAAATGCAAATTACTTTTCTATCTGCAAACACAAGTTTTAACAATACTTTATAAAATAGTGCACTCGAATTTACATTTTTATATATTTGATTGAAATAATACATCGAGAGTTTAGATATCTTCATTTATATTTCACAGATTTTTTCGTAATGAAACAAGAAATGGGAAGTATCGATGTGGCAGTTGCCAGAAAGAATTCGTTTCGAAGAAAGGATTAAGATATCATCGAATGTTTCACACTGGTGAAGGGCTCCTGTCTTGCCAATTCTGTAATCGTCAGTTCAACTATTCCAGCAATTTGAGTAAACACGTCAAGATTCATACCGGAGAGAAACCCTTTTCCTGTGATCATTGTAAACGGAGTTTTACGCGAAAAGAAAGTCTGATAGGACATCTTCGTCTTCACACCGGAGAAAAGCCATTCTCGTGTGATTATTGCTCAGAAAAGTTTCGTTTTCAAGCTAGTTTAAAGGATCATATTATTAAACGTCATAAGAATTATAAATGATATTTTCTATGAAGGAAACGAAAAAATAAAAATGGATGAAAATGATCGCGTTGTTGGATTTGTTTGAAAATATATTCAATAAAATGTAAACCCACATATTAAACTTAAAAACAATAAATTTTGAAGTATAATTTTCATTGTAATTTTTGAATTGTGTTTAAAACGTTTTATTTTGTGGATGTAAACAAAATGTTTTGTAAAGTTATTTTTAATAAATGAAAATTTAATGAAAATAGTAAAAATACAACATCTTGATGGACGTTGTGGAAAACGGGAATGGTTTTCTGAAATCGAAACGCAGGTCCTCTTTTTCTACAGTTCAGTAAATAAAACAGTTGGAAAAGTATTCATTCTTTCTGCGTAATATCATAATCAAAGATTCTTGTATCTTATTTTACGCTTACAAAATTCGAAAATAAAGTAACAATTAAAAATTTTCTAATTTTTAATATTTCGCAGAATGTATTATTTAAAAATTTGGGCGTTTAGTTTCATTTAGAAGCAGAACGACTGCAATATTGTATGGTGCTTCACATAACGAGACAAAAGTTAAAGTGTATTTTCTGTCAAAGCGATTAAATAAGGTCGAAAGTACATTAAAAACGCCAACGTGTACCACCCGAAAAGGCCGGTAACTAATCTGAAACACTTATATGACCGTACATAAGGTCAAACCTGTGTTTTAGACTAGTTTCTAATATGTCCCGTTCTGGTATCGGGAATTTGTAATCAACCGAAATAGCTCGGTCGATTACAAATTCTTGACTCGAGAACTGTGATAAATTCGAACCCTCTCTTATTAAAGTTCGGTTAAGCAATGTCGTATAAATGGACGTTATTAATTTAAGATGCGAAGATATTTTCAATTTTCGAACGTTTTCGTTCGTTTCTCATCCTCTTCCTTTATATAAAATGACGACGGAATGACAAAACCGGTCATTCGATTTTATAAAATTTTACGACTTTAATTATTATTTTTATAAAATAAAATAAGTCAAATTATTCGAATACAAATTAAAGGAAATGGGATTAAAACGTTTTTGTAAAATTTACATTTAATTAATTAATCCAAACGATTGGGTTTTTCAGCTTAACTTTAAATATAAATTAATTAAGATTTTACTTTTTGCACAAATTTTCGTACTTATTTTGAATATTTTTTTAAATTTAATATATTTCATACACGAAAGGAATAATTAAATAAAATAGTTAAAATTTATCGTTTCTTTAGTGAATAATATAAATTTCAAATAAATTACTTTGCTTACAGACTAATAGAACGTGTAAGTTATATTGGTCTCATTGATACGAATTTATTTTTGGAATATTCGTGGTGTATATGTTACCGCTAAAGCTCGAAATTCGTTAATCTGCACATTACCTACTAGGCACTCCGTAAAGTGAAAATAAAATTTATGCTGGAACAACAGCAACGTTTCTGTACGCTTAAATTAACATAATGTTATTTATTTAATTTTCAATATCTAAAGAATCAAGTTAATACAATCAACAAATTAGTTGATTGAATCAATCATCAATCAATTAAAAAAACTTTAATACAAAAATCAAACGGTTTAAAATATTACTACAATTAGGGAAATGAATTTGCAAAACATATGATAAAATTGTACTTACTTATTAGTGCAATCTAAA